ATAAGATATCGTGGTGTCACTCCTAATTTACTATTCTTACCTTCATCAAACAAGACAGGTGAGATATCTCAGTCAGTGACACCAAGATACTTAATATTATCGTGAAATTCTTCCCAATAAGCATCTTGCCTAAAGGTGCATCAGTGGTGTTCACTCAAGAAACAGTGTTAACTTGCCCTACACACACCATATAAGCTGGGTGCATTTGCTGCTAAACCATGACAGTGTGTGTTAGGGGAAACTGCCAATGCAGCGCAGCCTTATCACCAGACAGCCTCGGGCACTAAGCATGACAGTGCAAAGGGAGAACGACTCTGTCATTAGGTGATTTCGATGATGGTACCGTTCAAGAACAAACACCTTGTGACTGATAATTATAGATAGTCCTTAGGTAATGTGTTGTCCTTAGTCTCCCTCCCTCACATCATCGTGTCTGTATCGCTGCAGTTTCACCCTACTCGTTTGCATATTAGCTCAAATGTTTGTGTGTGAGAAACACAACATCGGCTTTTCACCTTAAATCGTAAAGATACTTTACAGAAAACAGTCAACAGCTAGGTGATACTACCATCCCGACTAATCTGGGGATTTAAAACACAGGAAAGCATTAAGAATTAAAGCAGTGATAAGTCACTCAACATACTCTGGACATTAACACCTCCTTCAATACTGGTGTAATCAGTATGTTGGCAGAGGCCGATACATACCGTTCTCTTTGGAGATAAGATCGAAGGTTACTGCATTCACAAAATATGGCTGTTGCATATTTGCTCTTTGACAACATCGATACACAGCAGGTAAGACCAAAGTTAAGGCTTCATTTCTCAGAGGCAGCTCATTCAGGTTACACAGGATTATCCGTACAACTGTTCTGATAACCACAGAGACCACCCTCAATTTGAAATTCAACATCCAGTAGTGTGGAAACCCACTTTTTCTTTACGTTTTTACAGCAGGCAGAAACTGTCTGGATAGGTAGTAGAAAATCTAACATCCTACGTAACAGCAGTGTTCTTTTAGTAGGAAACGTATTTACGCAAAGTATGGTTTAAAATATTGTAACATTAGCCAGGAGAACGAGGTGAAAACTGTACACTAATACAGCACAAAAATAATTAAACACAGTCCCCTGGTGCAAATATTAACACAAACTCAGTATGTAATTTTATCTTACATTGTACGTCGGAGTTACTTTTTGTATTTCACAGGCAGGGTGGAGTGACAGCTAGCTAACTTAACGCTAGCTAGAAAGAAATTGCAGTTTTGGTCAGCCACCTACTATCAAAGTAACCCATGAGTAGCTGTGAGCTAAAGGCTAGCCACTTCTCTTAGTTTTCGGCAGAAACAGAGCCCCTATCGCTGATATGAACCTTTGGTGTCAGGTTAGCGCGCAGCCACCGTGACTGAACGGCAGTTTACTTGCCAAACAGGGGTTTATTTTACTTACTAGTCTCATGCTAATGTTAGGAGCTAACTGCTAGCTGGCTCCTTCCTGCGGCACCTGTTGATAACAAAGCCACTTCAGCCCGGAGCGAAAACACTGAGTACTCACCTCCGTTTCTGAGCCGTCCACGTACTCCTCTCAGCTGCTAAATCCAATTGGAGATTCGTACTAAAAAAAAATATCAGTTTTATTCCAACCAGTTGGTAAATCGTGCTGTATGTTTCTAATTCACAGTTTCAGTGTCCAGACTTGTTGGTCGTTTATCGGACAGAGAAGCAGAGACCTCTCCCTCCTCCTCCTCCTCCTCTCAGACTGTCATTTCCAACTGCAGACAGGGGGGCGGAGACTCCAGGCCACCAACGACATAAAACAAGGACGCAGATTGGACGCAGCGATGAAAGGAATCTGGTCTGAGCCAATCAGACACGTTGCTACATGGACGGCTGCACGTGAACGTTAAACAGCGCAAATATACTATTACTGCTTTGTTGTTGGATAACACGTAGGCCCATTAATCTTTCACATCTATGTATTAATGTCTACAGCTGTGAGCAAAAGTTGTAAAGACCATGTATGTCATGGCAGTCTTTACTCTTTAAAACACATGCATCCTGGTCACAAAAATTAATCATGCATTTTGGTTCTTCCATAAATTTATCATTGGTCTTCTGGAAATATGACAAAATCTGCTGTCAGAAATAAACATACAGCAGTGGTAATATTTGGTTAAATGTCTCTTGGCCATTTTCATCTCAACTAGTTGCTTTTGGTAGCCGTCAACAAGCTTCTTGTTGCATCATTGACCAGCGTTCTTCACAGAGTTGGTGCAGTTCAACCTAATTTGTTGGTTTTCTGACAAAGACTTGTTTCTTCAGTACAAATGGTGTTAATGGTGTTTAAGTCAGAATTTTGGATAGACCAGTTTAAAACCTTAATTTCAACCTGAGTTAGCCATTTAAAAACAACAACAACAACAAAAAAAAACACTTTTGTGTTTGGGGTCATGGTCTTGATGGACCTCAACTCAACTGAGTAAAGATCCAACCTGATGATTTTAGATTTCCTGAAGAATGTGGAGGTAATCCTTCTTTTTCAGTTTACTGGGTGTGAAGCACCAGTTCCACTGGCAGCAGAACAGCTCCAGACCATAATACTACCACCACCATGCTTGA